CGAGGACGGAGGGAGATGAGCGATGGGTGGCACCAAATTTTATTTTTAGTCTAAATCACAAATATCACAATCTTACTTAAGTCAAACAAAATTATTATAAACGACAAAACATTTTCTTTGAATTTTTCTAACATAGCTACATCCCTAAATACTATAACTTGAAGTCATACGTTAATTTAAAATAACTCTACACTAGTCACTAATTGATTCATGCAGTCAGTATCAGTAGCATATGCTTTGAAAGGGAACAAAAAAAAAAAAAAAAAAGATATATGATTTTCTCTTCAAAAATGATATCATATAATTATATATTACAAACATATATAGCTGATAATTTTATTGTTATTAAGTTTTTTTTTTAAATCAAGATTAGTAGAGATTTTTCAAAATCTCATAACTAAACTACTTAATTCCAGCAATCTCAAAAATTTATTTAGAAATTTACTCCCTAATTATAACAAGAACGCTCGGGTGAGAATCTGAATTCGTATCTTATATATACCTTTAAATTTATTTCTTTATCATTTGAATTCTTTACATCATTAATCATGAAAATATAATACCATAGCAATTGAAAACCAACCAACAAGTCAAAACAAAATAACTCCATAGGTGGTCTTCATAGTAACTTAAAATTACATTTATAAACCACATTTGGTGGAATATTTATCTGGCTACAAAAAATGACACTGATCCAATATATCAGTTTAGTAGTACAGTATTTTACAGCCCAAGTGAGGCATCCGAAGAATTTTCAGTTTTGATGAAGACAATCAGAAAATGTAACACGTAGAAACAATATATTCCAAGCCTCAATTGATGTTTCAGATGACCACTTTTTATGACACTGACAGGTATCTAAAATCGAGTTAAAAATAATTAAAAGAAGATAAATATTGGCTTAGATCGTTCATCCACATATTTAAGAGGGTATGTCAAATCATGTGTAACCCGATTGTATAATACAAAATGACCAAAAGTGAACTCGGTTATTTCATCTTTTCCCTTGTTCAGTCTTATTAACAGCCTACTTAAGCCAAGCAAGCCTTCATGTGCATAACTTTTCATCTCGAGTTACCCTTGAGCACTATTCTCACCCACTACAAAATTCAGCTTTTGGAATTGAAATTTAGCAATAGTTGGCTTAGAACGTGGGAATAAAAATGTTACATTATATGCACCAAATAACCAAGTTCCTATATTCGAAGTTGCCGCAAATCAAAATGTGTGTACAGTGTATATAGCACAAAATGAGCAATCTGAGTTTGGTTATTTCCCATCTCTACCCTGAATTATGCAAGGATTTGAATTAACGAGAGCCTTGTTCATTCTTAAAAAAATCAGTCTCACGTGCACAATTTTCTCAAAACACTCTCCTCAGACCCACTACAAAAAAAAAAAAAAAAAACTTTTCAGATCCAAAAAGTTCAAGCAAGAAAGTGAGCAAAAAATTCAAGACCAAAATTACACTTAAATTAATCAACAGTTAAAACAACAACGCCCAAAATTGCCAGATCTATGTAATAAATTTCCACCGCCAAATCGTAAAAAAGCAAAAGAAAAACCTTTGGCTTTTATTTTCCATAGACGCGATTGAAAGAAACAGAGGCAGTTACAACAATGGGGTTTGTTCTCCGAGTAAAAATACCTGGGAAAGCCCAGATCTCGGTAACGGAGTCAGCCGGTGTAGATGTGAACTTTAACGGCCAAGATGAGGATTGAATAGAGAGCAAAGAAGATGAGTGTGTGAATGAAAATAGCTTTTCCATTGGTCTTCATGCTACCGAACTCTAACTGCTTACCGTTTCCGGGAAAGGAAAAGAGTAACCCAGGTTGAAGCAGCACGAACAGCACCACGCCGATTAACACCGGTGCCCAATCAGCCATTTTTCTCACTCAGAATCTTTCAAATTAAAAAAAATTAAAATTAAAATTGGTGGCTTTGTCTTTCGGTGAAGAAAGTGGTAGCTTTAAGGGGATGAGAGCGTTGATGAAGAGAGCGAAAGGGACAGTTGGAAATTTGGAAGCACAAGAAGAGGGTAGCAGGTGCGAGTGTTGGTCTTTGCCTCGTTGAAGGGTGGGTGGCTATGCTTCTCTGTGGCCGATTCTACCATTTCATTTACTAACTTCAAGTTTTCGCCGACATCGATATTTCCGGGTCCGGATCTTATTCGTTCCGGGTTCGGTTTCTGGGCCCCACCCACTACTGCTGCCTTGGAATTGATTTTGCCTTATCTCACATCCCATCCTTATCCTTCGCTTCATGCTTGTGACTTTGAGCTATCATTCCTTAATTATAAAGGTTTGATTACTTTATTTTCTTTCAAACAATAAAAATATAATTTATTTTTAAAAAGTAATATTTTTTATAAGGTTTTTTTTTACAATTTATTTTCTTAATTTTATAATTTATTCGTATTTTAGTTTTTTATATTAAAATAAAAATAAAGTGTAAGTAATATTAACTTGCTCGATGACTAAATTATTGTTTAAAAGACTAAAATATGAGTAAGTCAATATATTGGAATTAAATGGTAAGAAACAGATATTTAGAAAATTAGAAATAAAAAGTAAATAAAATTCTATTTTTTTCATTCTATGGTTCGATTACTTTCTTGTTTTTTAAAAGGTAAATATATAATATAATTCTTAAAAGGTATATTTTCATTTTTGGTATTTAAAAATTTTATTTTGTATAATTTAATTTTTAAATGAGTTAATATATTCATATTTTTCTTTTTGTCAAATAAAAAATGAAAGTAAAACGTACGTAAAATTAATATGTTCATGACCAAATTATTACATCGACAATCTTAAATACCAAATTGTTCTCTGAAAGGATAAAATGCAAACAAATTATTACATTGAAGGATTAAATTGTACAAAAAAAATTTTGTTAGCAATAAAAAATAAACAAAGTGTCATTTTCAGAAACCTATTCATGTAAATACTTCTTTCTAATGACACTCAAATCATATTTTCATTCTCTCTGGTTTAAAATAAAGTTTTATTATATTTTCTTGTCTAATATTTTAATATTTTTATTATTTTAATAAATAAGTATAAACAAAACCCATATGCTTTTATTATCTTAAAATATAAAAAATTATAATATATTCATTTAAAATTAAGAGAATTAATAATATTAAAAGATAAAATAAATAAATAAATAGTTTTATAAAATATGCTTTCCACACCTCTGAGCAGTATATATAATTTATTTTAAATTTTAACCTTTTTTAATATAAGGAAAAATAACTATAAAAGTGCTTCTTATTAATGTTTTGTCTTTTAGTGCAACATTTAGTATAGTGTACTAGCACTTAATTTTAAACATCATATTATTAATCATAGTATTTTGAAGGTAAAATAAATATTTAAAATCTTAATTTCGGTATTATCGATTTTACAATTTCATCTAAAATTTTTGTTTCCTTTTTTAAGTAACATAACTTATAATAAATATGTAAAACTAGATATTAATTATGTTTAGAATCATTCTGAGTCATTTTAAAATATTTATGGATTGATTGTATGCTTTTCTTTTCCCTTTAATTTCTGTAACGTGCGATTTTAAACTCTTAAGACTTTTTTAGCTGATTAAATCTCATTAGTTTTAAAATTATAGAAATTTAGTTCTGATAATTTTTTTAACCTAAAATTATTATATTCTATTTCTGTGCACAAAAATTTTACAAATTGAATTAATTAAATTATTATTTATTCAAAATTAACTAATCAAAATATTAAATTTCGTCCAAAGTTAACCCTATTTGCAACTCTTGCAAAATCTTTTAAGATTTTAAAATTTTAAAATTATTTAATGTTCCAACTCCATTGCAAATCCTTCAAAATTTTGAATAAAAAAAAGGTATTTTAAGTATAAGAAAATTGATGAAAAATAATCAAAGGACTAAAACCACAAATAAATTATAAAAACAATTAAATTAGTATATCTAATTTTTTTATAAACCATAAATATTATTTATCAGAGTCTTGAGATTGTAACTTAAGTTGGAATAATCTCCTATCAATTGATTCACTTAATAATAATAATTTAATTTATTCTAATTGTAGTTAATTCTAATTTTTCACACTTAAATTTTAATATTTATCGTATATATTATTTTATGTCACTCTTCTCTCATTATTTATTGGTAATATTTATTATATTTGTTTTTATTTCCCTATCTATCTTCTCTTTAATGATGCATGCGTGCCTGTCAAATGTTATTCTTAATCGCTTAAAGTTCTCATAATATTTTTGTAATAAGAAGAAAAAGAAAAATATATAAAATAAGAAGTGGTGAGATAATAAAAATAGAAAGAAAAAAAACAGATAATATAAAAAACTGAGAGAATTTTAAATAGAAATGTTATTGTTATTATTATTGAATTACACCCTTTTATTCCACTCTCACCACTGCTTATAGCATAAGGAAAGCCAAAGAATAAAAAGAATAAACGGAAGAAAAGAAAGGGAAAGGCCAACCTTTAGAAAAGTTGTTTTCTTTGGAAAAGAAAAAAAAGTCCATTCAGCGCATGCCTGTGTGTTTTCTATGTGCATTTGGGTGATTTGTTTTACAGCTTTTGTAGCTTCTTTTTCTTTCACCTTCTTTTAATTTTGTTTTGTCCAACTCCTTCCTTGCATTATGGCATAAAGGGGGAGCCAAACCAAAAAGGAAATAAGACTCGTCATTGGCCACTAAATGGGCAATGATGTGTTTTATCAGCCACATTTTACTGCCTTTGTTTAATGCAATTAATTGAATACAAATCCCATTCTTAATTTCAGGTGTTTTGTACCCATTCGCTAGCAATAACTGGCCTTGTGGGATTGTTGACCAACAAAGAAAACGATGCCTTTCTTATCCAGAAAAAGGTGCATATAGGCCCGGATAAAAAGGAGAATAGATGTTAAAGTGCATGATTGATTATTTTTATGCTAAACTTTATAGGATTCCTATTCCTTTTCTTGAGGGATAGAACGCAACATTAATTGGTGTTTTCAATTTGACATTTCTCTGGCACTTGCTCTTCTTCTTTCATTCAAGCTTTGGTATTCATTCTCTTAGAGGTATAGAATGAACGATTGGGCTGCTCCTCTTATAGCTGCCGCTATGTTTTGGCTTTTGTGCCCAGGAATGATCTTTCAATTGCCGGGAAAGAATGCACCATTCGAGTTTATGAACATGAAGACCACTGTTGCATCCATTTTTGTACACACTGTTATTTATGGTTTGTTTCTCATGTTATTCTTCATTGTTCTCAGTATCCATCTTTATATCTAGGTAGCAGCAAAGAGTATTTAAAGAAAACTAGCTAACATGCTGCTTTATTATATGGTAGATCATGTGACAATCTCTTCATGTAAACGCTGATCAATATATGTGTGCCCTTCTGAATTTGCACTACTTGACTAGTCTTCTTACTTAGCTCCTAAAGCTTTCATGAGTAGTTATCTATGTATGAACAGCATCTCATGATGCAGCACGAAAAATTATTTTACTTTCATGTAATTTTTCTTCATCGTAATTGTTGCTTTCCTTACTTCTCTCTTTTTTCCTTCTTTCTCTCCATTAAAATTAGGATAAAATTTTAAGTATAACGTGTGTTTTTAATGTTATTCTATAATTTAAATTGAAATTTCACATTAATAATGCATAGACACCTTTAATGCTAACCATTATTGTGCAGATTATTAAAATAAAATTTTAATTTTAATTAAAAAAAAGTACTACAAACACTTATTGTATTTTATCTGAGTTTTGTCTTTAAAATTAATGATTTTGTATTTTGGATTATAGGAAAAAAACTATATAAAACTAATTTGAAAAAAAAGAGTAAAGAACTTGACATGCTAAAGAAACATAATGAGTTAATGGAATATATATGCTTATTCTTGGCTTAATAAGTTTTTTTTTTCTTTATGTAATATTTTAAGTTTTGGTTAAAAGGGAGATAAAAATAACACAAGAATTTAACATGTTTTGACATAGAAAGGATGCACCTACGTCCACATTAAATCAATCAATTGGGATCACTTAATGGCTGCTAAACTAGTAATTTCATTTGCTAAATTCATTTGGGATCAGATTGATGACCAATAAACTCAAAAGGTTAGCATAATGTTATAAGGTCTCATTACATATATATGTGTAGAATCGATCTATTTAAAAAAAAAAATTGTGTTCAAACTCTATCGTGTGGAAGTTTTAGGCTAGTAACTAAGTAGAAATCGTAAGCAAAAATTAATCTTAGACCATTTGAGCTTAGAGATATCGTGATTTCTAACCTTGGTTTAAAAATAACTAGTAACCAATAGGAGGTGGAAAAAAATTTTATCTTTAATTTCACTAGCAAATCATAATCACTAACAACCAAAATTAGCTACCACTCATCACAAATTAGTTAACCCACAGTAAAATTAATCACTAATTATTTTAAAATATATGATTGTAGTGACAACTAAAAGATATTTTTTATATTTAATCATTTTATCTTATTTTCTTATTCCTACTGATCACTAATAGAAACATTGCTAAATTTACTTTTTACAATTGAAAATACAAAATGGTCAAATATGATTGTATACACAAAATTATCAATATTTCAAACTGTGATAAAATAATATAAAAAAATAAAAAAAAACACAACAATAAAAAAAAATAAAAAATAGTTGTACATATACGTGTGTTTCCCAAATCAAAAGGTGGTTCTACAAGTGACATGGTCAATGTTATCGTCCCCTAATTTTGTTGAATGTCATCCTCAACAACAATAATAGTACAAGCATTAAGATAAAGCTCAGTTCACAAAATATAGATGTAAGAGAGACATCGAGGAGGGTGAGAACTTATTGTAGAATTCCAAATTTAAATGCTCTCATATAATTAACTAACATGATAGTGCAAACTCTTGATTAGTCTATGAGATTTGTATGCATCGGGTAAATTAGTTTCTAAAATTATAAAATGATTCTATTAATCATCAACTTTGTCAAATATTAGATACTTTGTTTAACTAATATTTTTGTCATAACAATCTCAACTCTAGCTAAGGTATCAAGTTAAGTAACACCTAGAATAGATAACGTAGTCAAAATGATGTCATTCTACACTTTTAATTATTATTTTTTCATATGTTTGAAAACCAATGGTGTATAAAATGAACTATCACCATAACTAGATTTTTAAATTTCTGCTTTCCGTGTCTTCATTGTTCTTTGCTAGGTCTTGGGCATCAAGCTTTGAAAATCTATTTATATATATTACGTATTGTAAGTGTAGTCTTTTATGCTTTGTTTTTAAATAAGTGGCTATTATGAGCAAGAGTTATACATTTTGTTAATCCCTTGTTTTGTTGTTGATATTATACAATGTAAGACTTTTATTTCATTTTGTTGGTTTCTTTTATGGCTCTCATAAGTGTTGCCCTATGAGTGAATATGAGAGGGGTACTTTTAAATGAATATGCCATCATAGTATGTGTGTTTTGTGAGTATTGGTAATAGTCATTCATGTGCACCATAATGTTATTTTGTGGAAGAAAATGGAGGAAGAAAGAGGTATATGTGGAGGAAGGTGGAAGTATGACATGATTGTGATAAGGAGACAGTGAATGTCTTTTGCATCACCAATTATAATAAGGAGTTGAGATATTAGGAGTTGGTTAATGTGGTTTGGTTCAATCCTTCTAATATATGTAGTTGGTTATATAGGTCATATGCCCTCAATATAATAGGTACACTTCTTGCAAGACAATATTCTAAGAACTTATTTTAAAACTCTTTTATTATTTTTTGACAAGTACACTTGTCAACAAACAACACCCTAAGAATATTTTGCCAAATTTTAGATGTTCTTGACACTTTAATAGTTGCTTTCAGGCCACAATTGGGGTCCAATATTTGATAAAGTCAAGGATTAACTCTCAAATTTAGAATGAATAATATTCTCCATTTTTATTGTATATTAATTATAAGGTCATGGGACCTATATATACATGAGTCTGCTGGCTATTTTTGGAAGTATGGACAAATAATTCTAAGGAAACAAATCTCTGTGACTATGGGATTGATTCTAAATACATAAACCTAATATTAATAGTAAGATACAATTATGATAAAGAATAATATTACAATAAAGATAAAATATAAAACTTCCTAAAATACACAATGAGCAACACGGTTTTCACACTACCCTTCAAGCTAGTGAGTAAGTGTTCTCCATTCCCTACTTGGATATAATCCTTTCAAAGTTAATGCAGTTCAGCTCCTTGGTGAGTATGTCTGCATGTTGATTCTGAGTGGACACATATGGGGTGCAAATCATGCCACTGTCTAGCTTTTCCTTGATAAAATGTTTGTCCACCTCGATATATTTAGTTTTATCATGCTGCATCGGGGTTGTGGACTATACTAATTGCAGATTTACTGTCACAATATAACCTCATAGGTTCAGCCCACCTTATCTTCAAGTCTTCCAATATAATCTTCAGCCATAGAAGTTTACATATTCCTTGGGCCATTGCTCGAAAACTTGATCTAGCTACTATACTATTTTTTGCTCTTCCAAGTCACAAGGTTTCCACCAAGGAAGGTGCAGTATCACTCTTGTTTCATTTGAACAACATCCCTCTTCCTGGAGTTCCTTTTAAATACTAGACAATTCTAAGGGTAGCTTGTAAATGTGCTTCCTTCGGTTGGTGCATAAATTGGCTAACTAAACTCACAGTAAAAGCAATGTCTGGCTTAGTGTGAGATAAGTAAATAAGTCTATCCACTAGTCTTTGATACATCTCCTTGTCCATGGCAATATCCTCCTCTGCACTTTCCAACTTTATATTTGGGTCAACTGGAGTACTTGCTGGTTTGCAGGTTGTCTTACCTATTTCTTTGACCAAGTTGATAAATCCATATTTTACTATGTTTTTAGGTAGTTTTCTATATTGTTTTTTTATAGATAAAAGGTTATTTGGAAGGTAAAAAATGCATAAAAATATATAAATATTTAATAAAGTCAATTTTTGTCTTTAGTAACTCAAATTGTATGAATTTAATAGAATTCTGATGTAATTTTGTTGACTAAACTAGTTTTGCAAGAGATTCTAAACTAAGAGTCTTGAGGATAAGGATTTAAGAAGAGAAAATAGAAGAAAGCAGCCAATCTGGATAAAAAGAGTGAAAAATCCAAAGTTGTATACTAGGAGTGATCAATATTAGCCATAAAATGACAACTTTGAGGTTAATTTAGCAGCAAATGATGAAATTGTTCACCATTTCTGTATAAAGTGAACACTACAGAGTCTTTGCCCAGGAGGAAGAATGAAAGTGTTCACTATTTCTATATAAAGTAAACACTACAGAGCCTTTGTCTAGGAGGAAGAATGAAAATGTTCATTGTTTCTGTATAAAGTGAACACTACGAAGGCTTTATCCAGGAGAAAAAGTTGGTGTGATCACTTTGTGCACTCATTGTGAACACGCACCAGTCTGTTAGAGCAAACGCAGCTACGCGTGACTACTATTATCACTGAAAGTGATTACTTTGAGTGCATGTAGCTAATATCAGCATACAAAGTAATCACTACATAGTGCTATCAGGAATACCCTGCACATGGTTACTTTTTGCACTGATAGTTGATAAGTTCATATTTTGATATATTTTATGACTTATATTTATAACTTTAAACTCTATTTTATATATATTTACACTAATTATTTTATTAATTATTACAGTTTAGCTTAAATTTGTTATTAGTGCATTATGGAGATATTTTGGATAAAAATTAGATATTTTTAGTCCTTGACAGTGCTATGTGAAGTTGAGTTTGAATTTTGAATTTAAAATTTAAACTTAGATATGAATATTTGGAGCAATTCTGATTGTGGATAAAACCGATTTGAAAAGATAGAGCTCAATCGACTGGAAACTCAGACCACAACCTATATAAAGAGGCCTTATGCTCCATACTTGACACACTCCTACTTCTTTACACACTTTCTTCCCCTTCTTAGTTCTACCATTAGTAAGGATGACAAGCTTCCCCTTAGAGTCCAAGCAAGTGATTGAGCACCCTTCGAAAAATGAGAACTTTCTTTATCTTCTACCTTTTTGGGTTTCTTTTGTTTGAGTTTTTCTTTATGATTATGGGTTTATTTATCATGTTCTTCGTAGTTTATTTTGTTATGAGTAACTAAACCCATAACTAAGGCTATGGCGGATCCTACTACAAACTTTATGTAATTTTTATTTTAATGTTAGTATTGATTTTTCTTTAATGTTTAGTTTTATTATATTAGATTATATTGTGTATGTTAAGATTTGATCCCCTTTAGCATCCTATAGTTAGTTGCCTTGTAGGCGATCGTACCACGTGTAATTAATGGAACTATAGGATAAAACAAGATAAGAGGCT